AAATCGGCTCACTCGCTCGCTCGCCAATTTATATTAATACAGTGTCAAAAGTGTCGTGTCAGTGGATTTTCAGTGGGGGTAATGGGGAACACTGGTAAGGTAAGCCCACGCCACGCCATGTCGCATCGAATCGAAGAATATTGATGGGTATTTTTGTCAGCAAATTAAAGAAACTCGGCCAAATCAGGCAAAAAGTAGAACTCCAAGTGAGAGAATGGGGTATACAAATTTGCATTAAGCCTACAAATCGTTAGCTAGATAACTATAGAGTACGACTCATTAGATAGTAGGTCGATAGAACTATCATAAATTTATTACAAAAAAAAAAATGAGACCCATTGAGATCCCATTGAGATTCAAACAAATTAAATTTCCCATACGAATTTCCTGAGATTTCAATGCATCTGATTGAGTGTTTAATCATTCAATGCACCTGTCACTCAGCAATCACTCACGCGGGGTTCACTTCTGTGTTCACATATTCGTTTAGTCGCACATCGAATGGAGGATATCCAGGCATTGCCACACGGTCGCCAGCAGCGCTGCGCTGCAAGTTGCTGTCATGCGGAGCGGAGCGGAGCGGAGCTGTCATTTTTAATAATTGCATGACGCGTTTTACACGCGAGTTTTTGCGATTGCCAAATGAGAAATGAAACGAAAATGAAATGAAAATGCATTTAAACGCCCACATGGAAAATGCGGGGGGAAATTGAATATGGTATATGGCATATACATGGGGTATATGGGAATGTGGAAATGGGAGTATCGATGGCTACATGGATTTTCACTTAAACTGCTCCACATTGCAGGACGAGTGAGAGCCACTTGGCATCGATTCACGTGGCTGGCAGCCCTCTCCTCAAGTGCTGGCTGGTGGCTGGCTGGCTGGCTGGCTGGCAATCCTTTGACCCACAAAACTCTCGAACCCGCCTCCAACACTCGAACGGAACCTCTCTCTGGAATCGAAAGTCTAAGGCCGAGGAGGATAAAGGCCTCGGCACTGGGACAGGCATCATTGACTCACATTTCAATCTTATCTGAATGGGGGGAACTCCGTCATTGATAAATATGCCAAATCATTGGGGCACGTCCTTAAAGGACCGCTCCACCCACTCGAGAGACACGTGCCCACGTAGGGACACACAAAAAAGGGGCGAAAATTAAGCAAAAAAAAAAAAAAGTAAAAGCAGCGGCAGAGGCTGTGGCTGTGGCAGTGGCAGTGGCAGCGGCAGCGACAGAAGGATAAAGTTTTTCCATTCACTTTTCTCCGTTTTGTTTGCTGAGTTATTTTGTCAAAATTTATTTAAATATTCTGGCAATTTTCGTGGAATACTCGTGCCTACCCCAGACCCATACCCAATCCCAATCCCGATCCACAGAACCTTAATTCGGGTGCCTGGTATCCCAAAAAACGTTTCTTGTTGAATAATTTCTTCAGCAGTCATTAAATGCAACAGAAAGCACTCTCTTTTTGTTTTGTTTTGTGTGTTTCCTCCCCCAGCCTATGCCGAGACAAATGGCAGCAAATTATTATGATGCTGGATCCGAGAATACCCTTAGTCTTTCTCTTTCTCTTTCCCTTTTCATTCTCCTTCTGTTTTGTCCAATTTTTTTTTTGCTTTTCCTTTCTTTTTGTTTTGTTTGGTGCTCTGTGAACCACGGAACTTTTACCCCCCACCCACCGTCTGCCAACAATTAATTGAAATTAACATATTTTCCCTCGTTTTATTTGAGACAACTTATCAGGGCACTGGCCATCCAACGTTTTAGGTAAAAGTTAATTTCCTACCGTTTCCGCCTTGGCTGCTTTATATGCAAAAAAAAAAAAACAAAAACCAAAAAGGAAATACGGCACTTGAACCAATTAAATCCTTTGGGGAAAGTTTTCCAAATTGATTTTTGCCCCCGTGTAGTTTGCCCAGGTAATACGCACAACTTTCCCATTAAACTGCAACGAATTCTTCCCAATCCTCCAGAGTTATAAAATTAAAAAAATTAATTACGAAAGTCTCTTAAATGGCAGTAAATTTGTAAACACTTCTGCTACTTTCAGCTACAAATTTGTCTGCTAAAAGCAAACAAATTTAAGCCATGAAAATCGCTGAAACTGAAACATGACTCTAAACAATTTTCGGATGAGAAAAAACTCTCGTAAGTAAAACGTTTTCACATTGCGGTGCCTTTAATGAGCCAGACAATGATTCCAGGGAAAAGCTGTGAAAAGTTGAGACTCTGGTGGGCGGCGGGGGGAAATGTAGAAAAGGGAATTCTCAACCAGAGGGCTTGGGCTGGGTTGGACTGGACTGGAGTCTCTGGAGTCTCCAGTCGCATAATAGGGGCATTGCTCATACGCCACCGATACCCCAGTGTTGCTTCATTTACCGCCGCAGCCCCCGCCGTCTCTGCCACTCTCTGTCTCTCTGTTTCCCCACTTTCTAACTCGATGCTCCCTTCTCTGTACAGTGTACACCATTCTCTTTGTAGTTGTGTGCTGGCATACCCTTCAAAGTGCGCAGCATGACTCGATCTCTCATAGAAAATAATTGGTACAAAACTTTCCGCTCGTTTATTCCACATGCAGTCAGGCGCAAGGGTATCCAATGCTTCGGCCTGCCATTGGACAGAGCCTTTTACGTTCTTGCGCTCATTGTTGTTGTTGTTCTTCTTCGGGGGTCGGGGCTGCCTTTATGAAAAATTATACAAAACTTTTTACTTAGTGCCACGCGGGCACTGAACAATTACGAGGCCATCAGGGGAAGGTGGGCGGAAATGGGGCGCGCGCTACCGGTACACACTCTCTCTGCAAATAAATAAACGTGTTTGTAATAAGCCCCCGTTTTGGCCCCATCGTTGTCCTAAGCGATGCAGAAAAGTTAAAGGGAAACAACAACAAAATCAACGAACGGGAAAAACGAACGGGTGGGTGGTAGAATTGAAAATGTTGTTTAATCCCTGGAAGGCAAAAATCTGACAGCTTTTGCACTAATTAACCGAATGGCGAGAACAATGCACAAGATTTATGGTTGAAAATTTACTAAATTACTTGCCCAACATACGAAAATAAATCAGTGAGACTTGATGGCCTGTGGCCATTTGTCGCATTAATTGCGACTAAGAAATTCTGTATATTAGAAGCCCAAGGCAGGTGTTCTTTTTAATGGCTAGGTAGGAAAAATGCCCTTAAACTGGTTGCATCAAATGCATCTGCTGCATTTCATGCTTAAAAGTAGGCAATGCTTTTTTAGGCAGCAATATTTGTCCGGAAATTGCTGCCGCCCAAAGGCAGGCAATGCTTTGACCCCCTCAAAACCCTACCCCTCGTGTGGGTTTTGTTTCCTCTTTTGTTTGATTTGTTGTCTACCTTTTTTCTAATTACGCAGTTACCCAGGTCAGGCTTGAACAGCTACCAACATACGCACATTCCATTCCGAGAGTCCATTTCCCCATGCCATTCCGTGTCACCTTCGGTTTATTTTTTTTTCTTTTTTTTTTGCGCGCCTTGCTTGTCGACTAAACTTTTGGCATTTCTATGGAATTCGATTGCAAAGCTATATCATTTTCATTTAATTTCACGCTTTCAATTTGCGACCCACACACACACACACACACAGACAAAACCGTGACGACAGAGTTGGAAAGCTTGTCCGGCAGGCATCCCTTTTTTTTTGTTTTTTTTGTGAACACCCACTCCGACAACCAGTGGCACATTCACATTCCCTGGCACAGTTGATCCCGCCACGATGGGTCGCGGCACATGCCAAAGGTAAACGGCATAATGGATTCTTTCTTGTTGTGTTGTTTTTTTATTATTTCTGTGCCACCTTTTGTCTGAAAATCGAAACCAAAGCGGAGCCATGCGAACTGAGCACCGTTGAGAGCACCGCATCGCTCGTCGATTTGGCAAACACACCCACCCCACTCCACCCCACCACACACCACACACCACCCACACCTACACCCAACACGTGTGTGTGTTTGTGTGTTTTAGAAATTGATGTGGAATAGGATAGAATGCGAGGAAAAAACAAAAGGTGGGCCAGGGTGCTGGTTGAAAACTTTTTAGAAAACAAAACAAAACTGCACATCGCATCGCATGAATGTCATCCACGACCGCAAAATCTGACCCCCCACACACACACACACACACACACACACAGGCACACAGATGTACCGTCAAATGCTAACCAGGGACGATGATTTGCTCACCATGGGATGTGGGGGACACATTTATCGGCGCCTAGTGCTACAAATGTAATATCAGGTTTAAAATGTTGCTTTTGATTTAGTTGCTGGATTTGTGTACTATTTTTTGTTTAAAAATCTGTCCAAAATGTGTCTCTATTAATTCTACAAAAAGAGTGAAAAATCTCTGTTAAAACAGCTTTTTCTGCCACAGATTTTTCCCCATGCATAGTGGTCGGGGGGTTTTTTTTATTCAATGTATAAACCACAAAAACCTTGTAATACGCGTACCGATTCTGAATGGGTTGGGTGTGCTTCTGTGTGTGTGTGTGTGTGTTTGTATGGATTGTTGTGTGCACGTGAAAGACTCTCACGAAATTGGTCAGCAATATTATGTTTGCAGTGTTAATTGAGCAACTTTTTTGAACTCAGTTTTTTTTTTTTGAGTTTGTTTGAAAGGTCGAAAATGCTTTTAAATCAATAAACTAACGTAATCAATTCACCCATTTCTCTTTCTCTTCCCTCTCCATCTCTCTCCTTCTCGCGCTCTTTTGTAAATTGCAATTCACAGCGAAAACAACTTTTGATTAATTAAAAGTAAAACAAAATAAAACAACAAAAATAACCGACCACACAGACGGAGACTGCGAGAGAACACCAACAGCAACAACATCGGCTGAAAGTGGAGTGTTAAGCGCTGGGCCTTTGGGGCCAACCGAAAGCGTTCAACAACGCGGCCCGCAGTAGCCTGAAGTCGCGTGTAGAAAAACATTTGAACCCAAACATTTTGTGTAAATTAAATACAAATATTTATTGAAAAATACTAGAAAAAGAAAACCTTTGCCAGCGAATCAACATCGAAATGGAATTGGTCATCCTCTTTGTCAAAAAGCATTTACTTCGCGAAAGTAACAACTTACACAACAACAGCGAAAACAACAACGGCAACGACAACGGTGAGAACACGAACAACGCTCGCAACCGGAACAACGCCAACAACAGGAACAACCCTAGGAACCCCAACAGCCGGAACAACAACGATAAGGGACAATCAGAATATCCAGGACATCCAGGACAACCGAAACTCAGAGATCAGTACCCGATAATCGATAAGCGTACACGTCTACTGGCACTACGACACCCAAAAAGGATCGCATCAGGTCAAATTTCGCCAACCAATCAACCGGAAGTTGGATATCGATTGGCCGAAGTAGCTGCCAAATCGGAGGCAAACGCAGCAGCAGCTAAACAACATCAAATAGCTGCACGCAAGAAGAGCGAGAATTACAAAAACAAGTAAACCGTCAACGTAATTCAACAACAACATCATCAACAACAACAACACAACTATACAATCAAGACACACTTCTACAACAGCTATAAAAACAAAGTACACCAGCAAGTAAACATTCAACAAAATCATCATCAATAAATACAAACAAGAGAGTAACAATTCAACAACGACTTAGACACACGGTAAAACAGGGACTGAAAATATTACAACACTAAACAAGACCACACGTGAAACTTCAACAACAACTCCAATAAAAAGAAAGGCACCAAGGGTAACAATACAACAACAACAACTTCAAAGAAAAGTGCACCAAGGGTAACAATTCACCAAAAGTAACAAATCACCGTAGATTAAAATACAACAACAACCACAATCAAACCAGCTTCAACAACAACAACAAAACCAGCAAGAACCCCTACAAACCCGGCTAAAATAACACAACAGCAATTACACCAATTACTACGACACAACTAGCTTCAACAACAGATACACCAACACCACCTTTAACGGCTGCAATTCAAATTCAACCACAACACCACAAAAAGCAGACTACGTCAACTAGTACGACAACGACTGAAGCAGCTTCAGCAACAACAACAACTAAAACAACAATTTCAACCCAAGCGGCTACAACAGCTTCAAGACGGGTTCCAACAATTCAACAACAAATCAGCCAGAGCTCAACAAGAGCTCTACAGCACCATCACCACAGCAACAAGAACAACCCAAGCCCAGCTCGAGCAACGAGAGCAAGATGCAACGTCTTCGCACGACCTTCACGCGTTCGCGGACGCCCACCGGTGCCGAAATGAAAATGCAGAACAGCCTCGAGGTGCCCAAACAGGTAAAGCAATCGATTCGATTAAGTCGATAGCATTTATCGATTGTCTGTTTGCATGTCCTGCACACAAAATGTGGTCTCGTTTGTTGTATTTTTTCGCTGTCGTTTGATTTTATTGATTGCAAATCGATTTTCTGCTGTTCTGTTATAATTTCAATTATCGATAAATCAATCGATAAATGATTTCTTTTTATCGACAAATAATCGATTCGTAAATGATTCGCCTTTAGTTGTGTTTTGCATGCGTTTCGTTTTGTTGTCTCTTGCCCAACCCATCCACCGTCTCTGATTCTGACCGCTGACCTCTGACCCTCTGATCCCCTCTGATGTTCCAGGTGCGTTCCGCCTCCTTTGACGAGATGCAACTGGAGGCGCAGCGCACGTCCTCCAGCCGAGGACTGAGGCAGCGTGCCTCGTCGTCGGCGGAGGGGCGTGCCTTGGCTGCGGATCGTCTGCAGGTGCCGGCTGGGCATGGCCGCTCGCGCAGCTTCGACTCGGCTGTGATCGATCCGACGAGCGAGGATTCCGGGGCCTTCCTGGATGTGCCACACCGCAGCAAGATTCCGCGGCGCAGCAGCTCGTCGAGCCCGAAGACACCGCCGCCGTGCTTCCATTGCCAAATGGTGAGGCAGTACGAGCGCCAGATCACAGCGGAGCAGCGCTTCTTCATCGATCATCGAGAGCTGACCGCCCTCAGCTTCTACAGCGATGATGACGATGACGACGACGAGGAGGAGGAGGGCGCTGTGGGCGGTGAAGGCCTGTGCGAAGACATGCAGGGAGCTTGCGGCGGACGGCCGCTGCCCGATGTGAACAACGAGGCAGTGGCAAGGGCGCAAGCCATTCTGGCATCAACTTTCGAGAACGATCCGAGCACCGATTGTGAGGACGATGCCGTCGATATGGACCTGGGACTAATCCACCTGAGCATCGAGCAGTCGCGGGCCCGCATTCCACGGCAAATGCGACGCCACACCATCGACAGCTCGGTGGGCAACTCCGAGGATGAGGGCGTCGACGGATCCGGCCCCAACTCCAATAATTCACCGTATTTCGGCAACACCCTGATGCCACCCAGGCCCTGCGGCATCACCTTCACCCTGTCCCCCACCAACGGCGACTATCCGTTCCTACCGACCTTCGCTTTTCCCATTGATCCCAATTCCCCGCCAGGCTCGCCCTCGCCCACCCAGTCACCATCACCATCGCCATCGCCATCCCCGTCGCCCACACCGTCGGTGGTGCTGGCCGTTCCACCACCCATGCTGGAGTTACCCTCCTGCTCCACGGGCAGCGGACAACAGCTGTTGGGATCCACCGCAGCGGTGGCCGCCGCCGCCCTCACTCTACCGGCGATTGCCTCCTCGCAGGCAGCCGCAGCCATGGCCACCGGAGCGGTGTGCAACCTGGCGGATGCGGATGATGCTGCTGCCGCTTTGGGGGCCATGGTCAGGCCGAGACGCCGTTCCATCTCGCGGCAGGAGGCCGTGTTTGTGGAGCCCACTGGCAGTTCGCTGGAGAATGTCTCCATGTCGATTGAGAAGGCGGACTCCATTGATGCCGCCTCCACCAGGGCCAATTGCGGCTCGCCCACGGGCATGTTTGCCGTGGCCCATCGCACCGGTTTTGTGGTGCAGGATATCTACTTGACCGTACCGGATCTGCGACGAGATCGTGCCGCCTCCGTGGACTCGTGCTTCTCGAAGCTCCCATCAGGCAACAAAACCGAGGAGCTACAGCCCACAGTGGATGGCTGCTACCTGACCGTACCGGTGATCAACACCACTCGCTCCCGATCCGTGGACATTGTGCTGCCCACCGATGAGCAGGCACGCTACAAGGCCCTCGCCATGACTGGCAACGAACCAGGAACCTACGGGTACGTTGAAGCTCTATCCCGTAATCTCTTTGGGAGATTATGGCACACATCAATTTAATTATTTGCATTTAGTTTAATGAGAGCACAAGGCTGTGCCGCATCCAAGTCTTCTATAACCTTTATATTTTCTATATCTATAATCTTTATATTTTATAAATATTTTCCGCGCACTTTCGCGAGTCCATCTGTTGAGCGGACATCCTTTTTGTTTACTTTTCTTTGGACTTTTTGGCGCAGAAATACTCTACTCGCACATAGTAAATATCTGCCTATGCCTTATCCTAGGCAAGCTCCTTTTGGGGTGGTAGCTATTTTTAGACGGGGGCAAAACTTTTAAGTTGACTCATTAAAACGAGCTTAGCACGTGGCCAAGGCCAAGGTGGGGGAGCAGCTCTAGCGGCTCTAGCAGCTTCGGGGCTAGACGTTTACACAATCATAATTGCGGTTGCTGTTGGCCATTTGGTAGGACAGGACAGGACAGGACAGGACATGTGTCTGCGATATGACACGTGCGGGCTTCGAGAGACATGTGATGCCCGGCGGGGAACTGGCCCGGACTTAAACCTAATTAAAACAGAAGGACTCTCCATCCAGCCGTCTCTGTGGTTCGGCCATTCATAATTCCCGCCCAACAGCGGACATTGACTGAGCCTTTTCGTACAATATGCCTTTAGCCCAGGGCCCTCAGCATGAATAAATTATGGCGGAAAATGACAAAAAAAAAAAAACAACAAACACACAAACACACAAAAACCAAAACCAAAAAATGGCTCAGCGAAACGATTTCCTTGAATTACAACAAAAGCCGCCCATAAATAATATTCAAACAAAGTGTCTCGTGTCCGTGCGCCTAGTACTCCCCCCCCACGGTTACGCTGTCCCGCCATCCGCCGTCCACTATCCGCATATCCCATTGCCCCGAAATGACGTGAAGAGTCTGCCACTGCGTGCCACAAAATCGAGCGAGGTGTGAGGGTGACGAACCACTTGCGGCCAATTTGTTTGTTTGCCAGTCAGAGAGTCAGAGTTACTCCGTCCGTGAGTAGCCGGAGTAGCTGGAGTCCGGCAGGCTCTGCTACTTACGTGAACCGATATGTATATGGATAATTCAGAACTTTTTTTTTGCTGATGGATTACATAGATTAGGAGGGCTGCTTGCTGTGTGCGTGTGCCAGGCAACTTGATTCCATTCCAGGAAAATTAATTATTTTAGTGACTACCGAGAGAGTGAGAGTGAGAGTGGGAGAGAGGCAGATTACAGACAGAGAAGGATTTCTAAATATTTGATAAGAACAAGGACCGTTGCAAAAATGGATCAATGTGCCAGAAATTGAATCCAAAAAAAAAAAACTAACATAGAAATCTAACCAAAAAGTAGACTGATGACGACAAAAATTATGAAGGTTTCTGCATTTCAAACCGAGGAGTGCTGTAGAGTTAATTTAATGAAGAATGGAGCTGTTAAGCAAGGCTTTAACAATCAATCAAAATTCTCAAATATATGATTCAATTTTCATAAAGATTTTAAACACTATAAAGCATACATAAACAGTATTTTTTCATATGTATATTTAAAGTTAATTATCCATGAACAAATGTAAATTACTTCTGAGTAATAATTATCGTAAATACCCTTTAAAATCCCCGTAATATTCTGCTGTAAACTAATCAAGATAATTGCATTTTTTTTGCAGGTACGTAAACGATGAGTATTCCCATAAATATTACACATAAAATATGAACCATCAGAAATGCACTCCCAGGATAAGTACTGAAAATATTAATATATTTAAATATGTTGTGGGTGTGGGTGTAGGTGCGGGTGGTGGAATGTTATGTGGGATTTCCTTTTTAATTTCCGATTCATGTTGACCCAATTGATGGGCCACTTACTCGGATTGTCATACGCATAAAAACCACTCTGGGACACTCCATTAGAGTCACCCATCCCATCCCATCCCATCCCATGCCATGCCACGTGTCTCCCCGGAGGACTATCGAGGCTATCATAAATGTGGATTTGTTGATTTACGTTACTGAAGCGTGTGACATGTTATTATCTTGGTCTGGTGTGGCTGTGTCCCTTAGTGGAAACATTAACCACTGAATGATATGTTTAATTTGTACTTTCTTTTCCGCTCGAGCCGCCACACACATTAAAATGCCCTGTCCTCTACCATTCGCCCACACTCAGGCCCCACACTCCGCCGACCCTTTGCTCAGTAAAATGGAAAAATATTATAAAATCATTCAATCATGCGACGCAACGCAAGCCGGACACTGCAGTCATTCATCCACAGCTCGGATTTGGTATCCACATTCCCCTCAAGCTCTTTTATGCGCTCTCTGCTCTTGAGCGTCTGTTTGTCTGTGGGCCCCCAGGCGCTTTGCGATTCATTCATGCGACTTGGGGGTCTCTCCGACAGACATTCCTGCGGTGGCTGTCGAACAAGTAACAAAAAGTTAACCTAAACTTTTACGACAATGCTGGAAATAATTTTATGAAAATACTCCCCCGAGGGGCCAAACCCATGAAGAACGGAACCCCAAACCGAACTGAATCGAACCGAATCTTTGCTATACGTCTTTTGGGTAACGTGAAAACTTTTGCATGCATGAAATTAGCATACGGCACTCGGGGGAGTATGAAATTTGCTTTATTCGCTGATTGAGGTAACTGTTTGGCGTATGAAAAGGAGATTCAGTTCAGATCAGATATTGATGGGCACTTTTGAGGTAATTTTCAGAAAGTAAACAGAACATTTGATAATGGAAATTAAAGGGCCATTCAATGGAATCGTCTTTGGGGTTTCCTAACCCCATATCGAGGGATTTGAAAGGTGCCAAAGAACAGAGGCAAAGAATAGAATGGGCGGCATATTCTTCTGGTTTGACTCCTCTCTTGGATGTGATGATTCAACCATCATTTAATCCACCCATCCATTTCAAAGAGAAACAAAACTCTCGCATTGACTGTGGCAGACAGAATACTCACCAATTTAGGGGGTATGTCTATAAAAAAATCTTTTCGCCTCCAGTCCAGTCCACTCCAGTTGCACAGTTCCGCCTTTTGCTGACGCACGTGTGGCATGCAGCAAAAAAAAAAAAAATAGCAGCAACAACAACAATAATAGTACTTGGAAGGCCCCCCCTGCCACAATAAAGTTTTATGAAACATTTGTTCGCTTTCTGTGTGCCCTCTAAAAAAGGGTATGATGATTCTGACAAGATGCTTGCCACGCTGAAAAAGGGGGGCCCCCTTAATCTGTCATAATTTTAATTTAAGCGAAATTGTTGTAGAATATTGTGGCACATAATTCCTTATCCAAATCGTGTGACTATATGCATATATCTTACGAATAATTAATATGCCCAGGGTATTTAAAGCTTCGATGGGCTGCTCCACTTGCGGCCTGGCCACAACTACGTCAGCAGCAGAGGGGCAACGTCAGAGTGTGGGGCTATGCGATGGTGTGTGTGGGAGGGGGTGCACGCAGATGTGGGATAGGATAGGCGTATGGAGGCGAAATTGAAATGCAAATTGAAAGGCACAAAGCGAGAATATGCCATGCGAACAATCAAAGCGGGAGACAAAGCAGCGCACAGCGACCGCAGAAACGTTGACAACGTCAGCGTAAGCGTCAACGTCAGCGCGAAAGCAGAGAGGAAAATGTCACCAGCAGAGCAGCCGCCAAAAAAGCCACAAAGAGAGTGTGGAGTGCCGCCCGGCAGCCAGGAGAGCAAAACAAATAGAGCAAGATCTCGCCATCAGTGCTGCTCAAGACAAAACAAAAAAGCTAAAATAAGCTTAAAAAAAAAAGCTTTAGTTTCACGCTAAAGAGAGATATCCAGCTTACAAGAGAGTGAGAGAGAGAGAGAGAGAAATAACTGCCATGCGGTAAATTCTTTAAAACAGCTAAGAAAAAGCTAAATGCTATGAAAGACAGCAACACAACAATTAATGTCAACTCTCAGAGAGATTGTCATATAAGAATGGCAGATCGTCAACACTGCTAAGGCTTATCTTTTTATCATCTCCCCTGCTAGCTGCTCACATTTCCAGCGAAATCGCTCTTGAAACTTAAAGCTGAAAGCACGCCAGCTTCGCATCACTGATCGCGAGAATACTCACCACACACGTTGCCGCAGCGCAGCCTCATTGAGGTGACAAAGCGCCGCCACCGCTGCTACCGTTGGCGTTGACTTTGACTTCGCTCGGTCGCCGCCACCGGGGGGCTGCTCAGTCGCGTTGTGGGGTTGGATGCTGCCGCCAGCCGAAAAGGCCAACAAATTATCAAAGGAAATGATAAAAACAACAACAAAAAAACGTTCAAGAAAAACAAGAAACACGAAAAGGAATAGCAAAATAATAAAACAACGGAAAAACGCGCGCGAATGTCTTTCGCTTTCACTACTCGCTAACCCGTTAACCGGCAGAACGGAGAAGTGCGTAAAAGAAATACAAAACCATCAAAATACGAGTGAAGAAAGCGAATGAAAAGAGTGTGCCCAAAGGCAGCAGAAGAAAGAGTGTGACCAAAGGTAGCAGCAGAAAGAGTGTGGCCAAAGGCAGCAGCAGAAAGAGTGTGCCCAAAGGCAGCAGCAGAAAGAGTGTGCCCAAAGGCAGCAGAAGAAAGAGTGTGCCCAAAGGCAGTAAAAGAAAGAGTGTGGCCAAAGGCAGCAGAAGAAAGAGTGTGGTCAAAGAGCAAGCAAACAAGAAAAGGTGTGACCACAAGCAGCATAAGAAATATTGTGGCCAAAAGCAACCCAGGAAAAAGTGTAACCAAGGAGCAACCAAACAAAAAGTGTAACCAAGGAGCAGCCAGCGAAAAAGTGTAACCTAAAGCAACAAAAAAGCAGGGTGTATGCATTGAAGCCGACTTCCTGCAATCATCCTTCAAGAAAGAATTAAAACCCTAAGACGGACACCTGAGAGAAAGAGTGCGAAAGTTATATTCTTTTTTTTTGCGTTCAAATCAAAACTAACGTAAGAAAAACGG